ACATACACACACACATACACACACACACACACACATACATATAACGTGCATAGACGTAGGGTATGTAAGGTATGTAAAAGGTATGGTAAGATGGTGTGGTGAGAGGTAAAGGGATAAAATCATTTGGGTATTTGAGATGGATGGAAAGTGTAATAGCAATGGTAGTCAGATGTTAGCTTGTGTGGATGAATTGTTATTGACTTTGAATTGTAGGAATAGAAAACTAAGGAAAGAGTGTGTATTACAATGATACCATATTGCTGAGTTACACTGGTTGAAACACATTACCATTTGATAAATATGATGAACTTACATGAATTTTTTATTTGACGAAAATGTTATTGATTCATAACATGTTGCCATATGCCAGCTGACACATTTGAATTTGATGATGGAAATATTAAAAAAATAGTGTAGCAGCGGTTGACAGAACAAAAAAATAAGCATTGGTTAGCGAGTAATGTTTGAATGTTAAGCAGTGATAGTAATTGCAGTGGAGGGAAATTTCTTCTTTTATATCGTAACGGTTGATCATTTCACATCAATCACTTTTTAGTTGAATATATAGCAAAATTTAGGTGATATTGTTACATTACTTTGTATCACAATAATCAATAATCGTTTTTATTCTCATATGCATTAAGAAATCAAAGATTGAGAATGAACAATTTGGATAGTATTGAAATTTAACGAAGAAAATACAATACAAATTAACTTATACTACATTTAATGTATCATGCTTTCGCATTTGATGATGAGAAATGAAATAAATGGTTGTAATGGAGAAAATTTATGATATTGAATTTGATATTCCAGTATTAATGAAAAAAATGGCACAGTAGTGATGAAATAATGTTAATCTGTTATCGAAATTAATCAATTCCATCATTAAGAAGATAATTCATCAAATGTTAACGAAAAAAATGAAGAAATTTAGTTGATGAAAAAAGAATTACATGTATAATATAACGGCATGTTTAAAAAAATTAAAAGTTGTTGATTGGTGATATTAACTTTTGGAAGATGCTTAATTTATAAAAATTTATTTTAATTTCATACCATATTCGATTTCTAATAATGAATAAATTTAAAAAATGCACATCAGTAATAAAACAAATTCGTTGATTAAAATAAACAGAGTAAAAGGTAGACAGTTTAAATAATTCTGTAGAAAAAAAAGAAGAAAAAAGAGCTATTTAATTTATCAAAAGGATTAGTGTGTGATTGAAATTTTTCGAATTTATCTATAAGGTTTTTGTTAAGCATCGTATTCTACAGATAATCTGACATTCTGACATTCGAATTATCAGATTATCAGGTCAGATTTTTTCTCTTTTTTCTGTTTATTTTTTTCTGTAAATTAAAAACTGTAACTGAAAAAAAAACGATTTTCTATTATTCCTCAGAATAATTTCTTTCATATAAATTGTGTGTTATCCAAAAAATTAATTAAAAAAAAAAGAATTCGATCGAGTATACCATATTCACTCTCTTATAAATGAAATTGGTGATTTAAGAAACCATCCTGAGAAGAGCTAATATCAAAAGGTTTTATTTTCTCAGTTTAATTTAGCAGTAAAATGAGCTGGAAAAGTATTGTTCTTTTTATTAGTAAAATATAAAATATTTAAACATTCTTGATAAGGAATACTTTAACATTCCATTAAGCTTCTCATAAAATAATCCACTTATGTTTGTCATCATTCGTTATCAGCATTAATCATTTAATCACTGGATATTTTCTCTTTCAATTCTTTCATTCATTTCGGCATAAAGACGATGGTACTTCGTGTGCTAGTAACTGGCGCAGCGGGTCAAATTGGATATGCTGTTGTGTTGCAAATCGCTAAGGGTGATGTTTTTGGACCTGAAACGGTATGTATTAAAATCTCTAATTTTTTTCTTTCTTTTTTTGGCCACAATTTTGTCGTAAAATTGCAAATGCAGTCCTATTGCAGTATATTTTTTTTTTCTCATTTGTGAAAAATTTTTATAGACTTTTAAAAAAACTTTTAGATTTACACTTTATTAATACTCTTGTCTCCTCTAAGAACTATTAACTTCAGATTCGAAAAAGTAAATTGATTATTTTCAATTTTTTCAAGCTTTAATAGTATTATAGAAGCTTGAAATTAAATGACAAAGTTTATTATCACTTATGTTCAGTCGTTTAAAAATGTGATTTCGTCAAAAATATAGTATTCATCTGATATATTTTTGTTGAACTAAGAGAAAAACAAAATAAATCAATTGTTTCAGCCAATTGTTCTCGTACTATTCGATATACCACCAATGTTGCAAGCTCTTGAGGGTGTACAGTTTGAGTTACAAGATTGCTCTTTACCCACCTTACAAGGTTATTTTCATTTTAGCTTCTTCCTTTATTCATCCTGAAATGTAATTTTTTTCTCAATTGCTGTTGTTTTAACTTCACGTTGCTAATTGTTACGATATATATTAATATTTATTTATTCAGAAATAATCGATGACATTTTAATCTTTATTGCATAATCTGTTCTAATTTTCTGTTTTTTCTCACATTTTCAACGGTGGATTTAATTCTCACTTTAACTTTTTTTTTATAAAAAAATTTTTTACAGATGTTGTTATAACTGTAAATGAGGAAGAAGCATTCAAAGATATCGATTATGCTTTTCTCATCGGTGCCATGCCGAGAAAGCAGGGTATGGAACGTAAGGATTTACTTTCCGCAAACGTCAAAATTTTCAAATCACAGGGAATGGCTCTTGCCAACTATGCTAAACCAACAACCAAAGTATATATACATCTCCATATTTCATGTTGATTTGTTTTTTACCTTACTCTAAGATATTCAATAGAAAAGAGACTTTACAAAGTATAAAATTATGAGGAATGGCGCTTCATCTCTGCTGTTTAGGAATAATGAATAAACAAGCAAGCATTAGTATCACAGGATAGTATTTGAAATTTAAATGAGCTAAAATTTAAAATATAATTTGGAAAATAGATTTATTCTAAATATATAGATTTCATTTTTTATATTAGATTTATTTTTTATTATATTAAATTTTATTTTTTATTGCAGTCAACACTGTAAGTTATGCTAATTTAATGAATTTCAATACTAAATCTTTCCCTGTACAAATATATTTAGGTTGTTGTTGTTGGTAATCCAGCAAATACTAATGCATTTATTGCTGCGAAATTCGCGGCTCCGACGGTACCAGAAAAGAATTTCACTTCTATGACCCGTTTAGATCATAATCGTGCCACGTCGCAAGTTGCAATGAAGTGTGGTGTTGGGGTTTGTTTGATTTACTTTCTATAATATTTGATTAGATTTAATATGTAACAAATGCTTTTAAGATTTATCTTGGCTTTAAAATTCATACGTTTCATCCTTGCAGGATATCAGATCCTAATATATTGAATGCATGCTCATATATATAGGTTGCACTATATATGGTTTAGATTCCATCACGGTTTCTAAAACATTTCAGATGCGAGATGTGAAGAATGTAATTATCTGGGGTAATCATTCAAGTACTCAATTCCCAGATGTTACCCATGCCAAGGTTGTCAAGAATGGTACCGTACTTGGTGCTTATGAGGCTATTAATGATAAGGAATGGATTCAGGGACCGTTCATTAGCGTAAGACTTTGCGCTTTCTTTCCACACTTTTATATCCAAATATTGCGTTTTTTGACATGTTAGTTTCATAAAATTTGACATGTAATTAAAAAATTGCTTGTTTATAAGCTTCTTGTTAAGCCACTATAGATTGTTCAAAAACGTGGTGCGGTAATCATTGAGAAGAGAAAACTGTCATCTGCAATGTCAGCGGCAAAAGCGGCTTGTGATCATATTCGTGATTGGCATTGTGGAACAAGACCGGTATAACCTTTTTTTTGTTAAGGATTGTAATTTTTGGAGTCAGTGATTATTTTGTTTCATCTTCATTAAGATATGATATACTTCGACAATTATGGAGCATAATCGGAGCAGCGGAAGAAATAGAAAAATGATAATAGTTTCTTGATGATTCAGTAATTTTAAAAATTTAAAGTTACAAATTTATTTCCAGGACGAATGGGTATCAATGGGTATTCCATCAGATGGCTCATACGGTATTCCCAAGGGACTAATGTTCTCATTTCCTGTCACTATTTCTAGTGGAGAATACAAAATTGTCCAAGGCTTGAACTTGGATGAGTTTGCAAAAGGAAAAATTGCTATCACGCAGAAAGTACGATGCATAATTTTATTTGAATGACCACATAGAGGAGAAGCATGGGTAATTAAGATGGTAGTTGATAAGAATAATTATATATTTTAACTTATAGTTAACTGTCAAATCTTTTTATTTACAAATTTTTAACTGTTTCATCCCAAAAATGAATATTTTTTTTATTCTGAAGTTGAAAATTTAAAACTAATGATTGAAATTTTCTAAGAAAGATTTGTGATCTCATGATAGATTTAATTTATCTGGAAAATCATGTTCCGCTAAAGGCTGCTATGTCTTTTTATATTCTTTTGTTTGTTTATCCATAAATTTTACAAGCCATCAGTTTAGATGCTGGATTATTTGTTACTGCTAAGTTGTTTTTATTTCTTGGTCAAGGTTAGTGTACTGGGTTTGCGGTAGTGATCTGTTAACTCGATAAACTTGACTAAGCACAAAAGAAATTTGCTGATTGAATTATTATTTTGCTCATTGTACTGTTCCTAATATTACGATACTTTCAGGAACTGGAGGAAGAACGTGATGAAGCTCTTCAAGCATGCGCTTAGAAGATATAAATATCATCCGTTTCATAGCTATAATCAGTGTGGCATTCAATGAACGGATCATTTCAATAAACTGGAACAAAATTTAATATTGCTATTTATCAGTGTTGTTTATTTTTCGCAGCCTGAATTTTTGGCTCAATGTAAATGAATAATTGTTCGGATCAATTTATCAAGTTTTTTATCTTGCAAAATGATTTCTATTTATTATTTATTATAACCTTGTAGAGAATAAAATTTTTTGATGTAAAAAACAGATCAGTGTTGGGATTATTAAAATTATTCATGGGATTTTATATAGATCTCTCGGAAGCATCTAACGAAGAACGTCGATAAGCTTTTCAGCCGAATGAAAATATAGTTAATAAATTTATGTTGGATCATTGTACGGCAGCCAATAATGGCATGTAATGTTATTCGAATAGGCGGATTGAATAATCAGAAGGTTTGGACGAATACATGTGAAAGGCCTTGTATAATCTAATGCAAACTTTTAAAGGAAATAATGCCGATGTGCTTTGATTTATTTTATATTATTCCATTGTTTTTGAATTTAAACTTCACTATTTAATCATCTACCAATTATTTAGGAATTATTTATTCACGGAGATCTTATGTCTTATTAAGAAATATTGCTTCATAAAAGTTGTATATTTAGAAATATACAACTTTTGTGAAGCAATTGTATAAGACTTTAAAGAAAATTTTGTGCTATGACCGTCACAAAGATATAGAAATTTTGCTAAAGTTTGAGAGCAATCGATAATCTTTATATGTAATGCTATGGTTGGAATTCCAATGTCAATATCATTTAACATTTAATCCATCAAAATTCATCGTTTGTTCCTACCAGTTTCTCATTTTCTGTTTTGTTTAGTGTTGTAACTATCACTTATAGTGTAATTTCAGGTTTTAAGCATCACACTCTATTAAGCTGTTTTTCAAATATTTAAAAAACAAGTTTTGTATTTTTTTGTTTTTCATTCAAGACAAAACACAGAAGATTTTTTAAAAAAATTTGAAAAAGCTAGTCGAAAAAGAATTTATCATTTGTCTGATTATCAAGTAGTGCTATCGGGTATGTAATATATGGAAAATGTTGAACAGTTTTGTTTTTTTTTT